AGGAGTCCATCAGGTGGTGGAGACCAGCTGCCTCCAATTTTATTCAATCCCAGAGTTCGTGGTGGGATAAGGGGTGGGTTAAGCACTGGGCCCAACACTTTAAGGAGCTTTAGAATCACCTGGGGAGCTTGGTGCACAGATCACAGGACCCACGATCTTTGTTTCTGATTCACTGTAGGTCTGGGGCAGGGCCAGAGACTGTGCATTTGTAACAAGCTCCCAGGTGATGCCTAGCTGCTGGCCCAGAGATCACATTTTGAGAACCACTGGCCTGGATGTTACCAGCAAAAAAGAAGGTTCATTTCAGCAGGGGAGCAGGTGGATGGAGTCTACATGTAAAGTAGAGGGAGGAAGACAGGTTCTGTTTCTTCCAAGTACACCACTACAATGGTTCTCAGGACATGACTTAATCATTTACAGACCCCTAAAGTAGTGTTATTTTTATCAGATTGAATATATATTTAGGAGCTACTGCAAACTTCCACCAGCCTGCAGCCTAACGTAGCAAGAAAGAAAAGTGTGAAATCCTTTTGAGTGATTTACATGTGCAGGGTGTAGCTGAACCTCCTAGAAAGAATGAGGCTATTAGAAACCAGAACTCAGAGTCAGCTGCCCCAAACCACTTGGCCTGCAACACTGTGTGTGATTTCTATTGGTGGGAGTCATAGGTCTGCTAATGTTACTGTGGTTTGTTGCCTACATTCATAATTAAAAGACATGCAATTTCCAATTAGAGAAATTCAGAATTCTAAACATGGACTCCTTGGGAGGTCCATGGACCCCAGTTTAAGTCGGGTTCACAAGTCTAAAGAAATCTTCATGCCACTCAAATTTACACTGTCATCTTATTTTTCATATTCCTCTAAAAATATAGCTGCATGATTGCTTGCCTTTTTTAATTTTAAAACTTGTAGTGGGTTATACTTATAGTTCAAGTAATTACCTGAAAGTAATTACCTGAGGATCAACAATACAAAACACACTCACATTCGTGTCTCAACAGGATTTAGCAAATGTCATTAGACCCACCTAATTTCTAAATAATATAAAACATCACTGCTTTAAAAAAATGTATTTTCACCCATAGGTTCCCCCCCCCTTTTTTTTTCTTCAGAATTATACACTCAAAGAAAACTTGCCTGTAGGGAGCTGCACACAATCAGATCCGGTGCTAACTGCAAAACATCGTTGGCTCCTTAGTACACATTCCATTTCATTCCCTAATGGGTCTTAATTAATGCCCTGATTCCCCCACCCCCGGAAAAACCATTACACACAAACACTTGATTCTCAGGGAAAACCGAAAGCTAATAACAATGTTCTCTATGGTAGAGGCAAAGGTAAGAAAAAATTCACAGTGCTTATTCTTCCTCCAGACTCCACAGCAGCACAGGAACAGATTATGGCAAACAAAGAGAAATTTCTGCTTTTTAAAAGTCATGGGCATCTCTGCAGAGCACGCAGTGCTGGCCCATTCACGTTTTTTCATTGCATTCCCCAAGCTCCTGCCCTTTCAAACATGTATGTAAATGAGGGGGCCCAAAGAGCTATTAATGCAAATTTCTTTAAATAGGGATCCTGAAAACCAAAAGGCTGTTGGTGGTTTCAGAGAATATCTTGCAGGAAAATGCTGTGTCCATAGTGAGTTGTCGCCGCATGACCCTGGGAAAATTAACTTGTGCAGAGAGAAAAAACAAAGAGCGTCGGCCTAAGGGAGACACCTCAGTGGGTCTCACAGCACAGAGGCTGTGGGGAGGAAGATTTTAAAAGGGGGTCAGGAGGGTGCTGATTCTTTTTCATGGACTTGAGGGTTATTCTTGAACAGGAAAATGTCTCTACGCATCATGTTTAATAATTCATTAATAAATGTGTAAAAGGGTCTTTGTTGGAGGGATGAAGTCCCAGCACCCAGCCCTGGAACCTGAGAGCACTGCTAACGCGACTAGAAAGGCCTGAAACCAGAGGTCCCGCTGGGCTCACCCGACGGGCCCATCCAAGGTTCTCCCCTGCGGCCGCCAGCAGGTACCTGCTGCAGGAAGCTGGCTCCGGGCTCTGGGACTTGGCTGTCTGAGCGGCGTGGCTCAGGGTTTTTCCTGTTGGGTCCAGGGACCAGACTTTGTCACGAGGTGGAATCTGTTGAGATTTGCTTCTCCCTCGAAACACAATGCATTTTGTCATCAGCGTATTCCTAGATTAAGACGGGATCCTCTATCAAGACCTCAGAATCTAAGGGAAGAGACTGAAGCACTGAGGCTTCTAGCACTTGGCCTCGCCGAGCCTCTGCTTTCTCAGTGTGAGGGAGGCTAACAGCGCCTGCCTCGCGGGCCTTCGGAGGACTGCGTTACTGCCACCCGGCCCAGTCTGTGCAGGGCAGGCCGCTTGGCAGCGATTCAGGGTATGGCAGGGGCCAGTGGATCCTATTATGTCCTTTAACCCAGCCTAAAACACCAGAAAATACACACCTTAATGGAAAAGTATTGATTTTGTGAACATGTATCGATTGGTCTGGAAAGTAAAGCACCTTCTACATTAGGAACAATTACTCATTTTTCTAGAAACCTGCGTTGCTACACTTTTTCCAAGTGGTGGGAAAAGAGCTCAAAGCCACAGGGAATCCTCCCCAGCCTGACACCACAGGCAGCTGTCAGCCTGCAATCCCACCCTGCTGCGTTGCGGCGGGGCTGGAAGAGCCCACCCCCAACAATACCCTGGATTTGCGGGTAAGACGCTAGGATCAGAAGCATCGCTCTGTCCACGGTCACCCAGCAGAGTCCGGTCAGAGCTCAGCGCTCCTAACTCCCACCCCGAGTTCATCGCAGCTCCGCAGGGCTCTCACAACACTAGGATGACTTCAATTCGCCTCCCTCTCCTCCAAGTACATTCTGCCAGAGTTGCTGACCATTCAATTCAATTTGAACCTACGAATTGCCTTTGAATTTACAGCCTACTGAAGGCATCTGAAGTCAGAAGGTAGAACTAGAAACTGGGAAGTCAGAGGTTTAGGGAGAAATTTTTCTCTAAGAACTGTCAGCACACATTTATGATGAAAGTACCAGTTATTCTCCTCACCTCTCTCAGTAGGTTTCACTTCTCCATTAACGATAGTAGATGCAACCCTAGAAAGGTCATAACGCAAACCCAGATCTCTACTCCTAATAGCCCTTTACAAACAGGCTCCCTCAGAAGGCAAACTGCTGAGCACAGTTGGCCTCAATCATATGTGAGTTACAAGTTCACAAGCAGCCCAAACCCCAGCCCAAACATCATTGCACACCTGCCAGCCTCTGAATTCCCACACCAGAGTCCAGACAGGTGCTTACGTTCGTATCCACATGCTGGTCTCAAACACATAAACACATCCAGCACACTCCACGCACAGGCCCTGCATGCACATGTGCTCACCATTATTCAGCCCACCCACACGCTCACGCATGAACACCCTACGTATGCATGTGTGTGTACGCACGCAGTAGTGCACACGCGGACGCACTCTTCCTCAGTTCCCTACCTGATTGCTACTCCTACAAGTCTTGGCTCTTCAACCCTGAAACTTCAACCCTCAGACCTACTTCTGGCCCTTTACATTTGGCATTTACTCTTGAGCCCTCTGGAACTTGAACACGGACTGTCTCTAATGATCTTAACTTGCCTTACTTTTCATGAGTTCTGCAACCAGATCTGAAACAACCATGTTCTAGCTCAAACCTCTAAAGAACACAGATTTTGACACCTCTCATTTTGTCAGAAACCCAACCTAACAACCCAATTGGCCCATTGTCGGCAACCCCTTTTTTTCCACCACTACCTTGCTCACAAAGTTTCCAGGCATGGGGTGCATTTGAACAGGCAGGAAAGTCCCACAGATCATCAGAGCCTAAAACGTGCCCCCTGGAGCCAGTGGTTCAGTACATTGGCCTGGGATTCTGCATCTACAGAGTGGCCCTGAGTGATCTCATCACAGGACTGTAGTCACCCCTTCTGGTAAGAGTTCAAAGGTTAGGGTTTTGTGCCCCCAGACGGTCTCACACCCCCTGCAAAAGTAAATAAAATAAATAAAAGCCGTAGGGAATTGTCCCATCCTTGAATGCCTTGAACTGATTTCAGACACTGTGGGTTTCTTCAGAAACCAGCCAAGCACCCTACCTCTCTCTTTTGACACATTCCTGAGACAGTAAGACAGTCGGGCAGACTCTCTCCCAGCCCTTCAGCTGCCCACCACAACTACTGACCAGGCAGAGTATGACTGAATTGGGCATGGCCCTAATGACACCCACTGCCCTCGTTGCCTTGATCCTATCCCCATTTCTTACCATCCATGTCTGGTTCAGAGTGTTGCACAAAATTGAGGTCTCTAAGAACATAACCATCTAAAGTTTGGCCACTTCTTCCCCTGTTTTCACATGGTTTTGTTCTCTGAATCCAGACAAGGGGGAGGGCAGAGGCAAGGTGATCTTGGATCCTGCATGGAGCACATTCATTTCCAATGATGCCTCTGCTGCCCACTCTTAAACCCACTCCCGGAAGAAAACAGGGACTGGAGCCCAAGTTCTACCAAACAGCCATGGGCATTTCACATGCACACAGGTGACTCACCCTCCCCCACACACTGTGCAGTCATCTTAATAGCCCATGACCTCATTTTGATTGAAACCCATCCATCGTTGTAAAGAGCAAAATAGACTTGGGAAGAGCGTCCAATCCTGTTCCTTTTTCTTGTCCCTGCCTCTGAGGAGGAAGAAGCGTCCATGCTTGTGAGTGGCTGTGAATCAGGTGAGGGGTTATCACCAGGACAAAGGGATCACATTCCCAGGCTGCCTTGACCTCTAAGTGAGAAATGGGACTGGGTACAAATGATGGATAAATACTTTGCTGAATAATTAGAAACCACACTTTATCTGAACTCAGAACTGATGACAATATTTTATTTCTATTGATTATTGTACAGAATCATGCATGCAGCTAAACATAGATACACATATAGATGAATTTTAATTGCCTGTGTTCTGCCTTATTACAAAAAGAATTTGAGGTGGCTAAAAGCTATCTCCAGTTTTTAAAAAGAGTAATGAAACTACCCAAATGCCCACCAACTGATAATGGATGAACAAAATTTGGTCAAGCTATTAAAATGGAATATTACTCAGCCATTACTAAGGAATAAAGTACTCATACATGATACAACATGGACGAACCTTGAAAGCATTGTGCTAAGTGAAAAAAGTCAGGCATAAATAACCACAAACTGTGTGGTTCCATTTATAGGCAATGTCCAGAATAGGAAAATCCACAGAGACAGAAAGTAGATTAGAAGGTGCCAGAGGCTGTTGGGAAGGGGATACGGAGAGTGACTGTGTAATGGGATAAGGAATTTCTTTTTAGGGTGATGAAAATGTTTTGGAATTAGATAGAGGTGATGGCTGCATAACATAGTGAATGTACTGAAAACCACTGAGTACTAACAAAGCCCGAAGGGAAAACAAAAGTTAAGAGATTAACTTGAAGCCTGGGAGTTGGGGTATTGATCATTACACAAGTGCAAATCATAATTGCTAGGGGTGGGCTACCAATTTAGCCATGATTCCCAGAGGAGAGAGCAGACCAAGAAACCCAGTCCATCAGTTAGGAGACCCTCACATTCCACGGGATAACAGCAAACCAGTCAGTGAGAAGCACCGATGTCCCTGCCTGGGGACACAGAACTCAGCTCCAGCGGTCTCCAGAGGGAAAGCTCTGTCCTTGGTGGGCTGGTCTTCCCAGCAGCTCTTCAGCATGTACAATGTCAAGGCTCTCATGCAGTTTCTGTTAACTTCTCTCAAGTGCAGCCTGAAAGCAAATGCCAAAGACAGCCCATTACTAAACATCCACACATTGTAGCCTTGGTTCTTTGGCCTGTCTTTAGGGGCAGTGTTTCTCAAAGGATCTTCTTACCTTTATCTTCTCTGTGTTTTTAAATATATGTCTATATTGTGTGGACCTGTAAGCCATTTGAATCCTGTATTAGTAGCACTTGGAGTGTTTATTAAAGTGCAGCACCTTGTGCTAAAGTAATGCAGATTCAAAGTCTTTGAGGAGAGAGTCCATGATTATGCAGTTTAATAAACTCTCCAGATGATTTTTATGGACAGTGAAGTTTGAGAGCCCTCCACTTCAGTTCCCGGGGACCCTGAAGAAGACCACACTACACAGATGGCCAGAGGGAGCCATGGTGTGTCTCCCCCCTCCTTACCTTCAATCCTATCTCCAGCCATCCATGGTCTCCAATTCCTACATAGAGATAGAGTCACTTAAGTGAAAAGCAGTTGAGCTATGTGTGCCGGCACCCTCTCTTACCCCCTTTCAGAGCCTCCTGCTTTGGGCCAGACACCCAGGAGATTCCAGCAGTCTGCCCTCAGAGGTGGGAGGAAGTTGCTGAGCTCATTCACACCTTAGAGATAAGTTTACAGGAAGACCTCACCACATAACTGTGCAAAAGAGGTCTTGTTTCTTTACTGCCAGTCTAGGCCCTTTTTGCAGGAGCACCTGATGCTTAATGTGAGTTTCAACCTGTCTCTCTCCCCAGCTCTGAGCTAAGTCTGCTAGGTCCATGTTCATGAGCCTGGCTGGACAACTCCAACCAGAGTTCCCCAGGGCACCTAAGCCCAGTTGTCCCCAAACTGGCCTATATCCCTTATCTTTAAGGAAAGAATTGATTAAATCTCCAGACCTCTGCATTCCTTCTGTTCTTTCGTTTAGTCCGTTACAGTGCTTCTTGAATGCCAAGAGGTAAAGGCTTGTATGAACAAAATTATGTATACTGTACATGGCGAGTTTAAGGAATCTATTAAGGGTAATGTTTACTCAGTTGATTTTTGCTACCGTTGAACTTCAGAAACTAATACACAAGTGATGCAACTCCTCTGTACCTGTTTCTGTTTATAGCACTTATCACTTGTGAAAGACTTTTCTTGTGAAAGACCTGTTTATTGGCATATCTAGTACTGGTTTCTCCAACTCTGCTGATTAATTTGAGTGTTGCTTGTACCGTCTTTCACTACATTGGAGTTTTTGTCATTGTTGTTAATGCCACTGAATCTACCCATTCTTTCATTCTTTTATCTCCGGCTTCTAGAACAGTGCCTGGCACATAGATGATCCTAAGTAGACACCTGCAGATTAAACAAATTAGTGTTTATGAGAGACTTCTAAACATCATTGGGGAAATTCTCATGTTTGGAGGTAGAAATTTGGAGGAGGACCTTACTAATGCAACACCTAAGCATTGCTTTGAGATGTTTTTTTCTCATGAGCTCATGGGCAGCTAACTGTCTATCTTATCTCTTCCCACAGCCTCAGTCTTCAGGAAAGCTGCATTCCAGAAAGATCCCACTGTCTGGCATAATGGAAATCTTTTCACACTGGACCACTTGCCCATGGCTCCCTCGTCAACTAAAGGCAACAAATGAAATTGCTCAGGTTGGGTGAAAGTGACCGAATGTGCTACCTGCCTCCCAGTACCTTGGAAATGTAGAGAATTTTAGTTTGTACCACATAGACAACATAGGTACCCGAGTCCTAATCTTATGAGCAATATTGCTCTTCTCTCACCTCATCTGGCCAGTCCGGTCCCTCTAACCTCACAGAAGCTTCTTGAGGGAAATAAAATCCAGCACATCATGTAAATGTTGTATATTCATTTGATATGATTTCAAATCCACTTGTTTGTGGCAAAAATGAAGTTGTTTTTAAGAGTAAAGATGTTTTGATATAAAAATGAGGTGAGATGTGTCAGGATGTCATCATCTCATCTGTTGTTAGTGATGAGCAGTCAGCCCAGCTGCTGAGGGGAGCCTCTGAGGGCTCGTCAACAACAGGCGTCTGAAGAGGCAACTATGGCAAGGAGGCATTTAGGCTATAAATACTGAGAGTTTGTGAGGCCCATCCGAGAGCATCGGGTCTGGGCAAGGTGACCCTCGCTGATCTAAATAGTTCTTCAAAGACCTCTGTGGCATTAGCTCATACCATGGTAAAGGCAACTTTCATGGGCAATGGTGCAAACCTGCAGTAGCCCTGTGAAGGAGAACGTCTTGCCCACCAACATCTGCACCATCATTTCCTAGCAACGTGCTCTAGCAACCAGGGACCTTCATTTTTGCACCGACAGCTGGAAGTCAGCTCCTGGTTGGTTAAACCGGTTGATTAAGCCATCTCTACAAGAATCAACCTCCCAGAAAAGGTGCACCTCAACGAAATTTGGACTTGATTTCTTTCATCTCCCCTTGCCTGAACCAGTAGTGCGATTAATCTGTTACTGGCTTGGAGTATGTTATTTCTTTATCGGCTTACTAAAAGACATTATCTTGTATGCTATTGGCTTGTGAAATTCCCGCAGTGAACTTGTGTTAAATAAATTGCTGACAAAGACAAACTCAGCCCCAGAGCCTAATTTGCAGCCCAAAACAAAACACTGACACACCTACTGCATCCTTAGTGTCCCAGAGCTACTCAAAGGGGAATCTGGTGCTGAGAGCTGTACAGACACATTTCAAAACCCTGGCTCTGTCACTCGCTAGCCATTAATCACAAAGTGACCTGATTTTGCTTTGCCTCCATTTCTTCATCTGTAAAACCCTGTTTTGTAGACTTATTGAGAAGATTAACTGAATAAAATTACATACAGTGCTTGACTGTCCTGGCAAAGAACACTCAAAACTTTTTTTTTAAATGTTTTTATTGACTTCAGAGAGAAGGGAAAGGGAGAGAGAGAGAGAAACGGATGAGAGAGAAACCTCCATCAGCTGCCTCCTGCACGCCCCGCGCTGGGGATCGAGCCCCGAACAGAAATCAACCCGTGACCTCCTGGTGCCTGGGATGACGCTCAGCTAATTGAGCCATATGGCCGGGCTCAAAACTTTTGAATATGTTGAATAGATTTGAATATGAAATTTTTGGTGGTGGTTCTGAAGGATACTGTAAATTAAAGTCTTCAATTCTAAGGCAATATTGATAGCTGAACACATACCTACACCCACGGGACTAATTTGGCCATTGTCCTTCTTACTTGAAGAAGCTGTTATCACAGATCCTATTTCCTGGGGCTGATTTCAGCGAAACTGGAAAAAAACTTAATAGGTGGAATAGGGTTTAACGTAGGCTCAGATAGGAAGGCTGGCCAGACCTGGGTCCCCTGGAGGTTGGGGATGGGAGCTCTGGTTGTCAGCAGCTGCTCTGGGCTCAGGACTCGTTACCATCCTCTGCTATGCGATCAGATGCTAGAACATTCCAGGTGCTCCCGGCCTCAGGCCTGGACAGGGTTCCTGCTAAACCTTTGTGGTTGTTTCAGCCAATCCGAACTCCTTCCAGCTTTTCCCTGGGCTCCCTGCCCCCAAGGTTGTGGGTGGAGAAGAATCCGGGCCAGATTTTACCAGAGTCTTTTTGTCCCCTGGGTCAAAAGAGGCTTTTCTCTCAGTTTTATCCATTTTTCATTTAAAAGTTGATATTCAACTTAACACAGTGAAACCTCACTCCCCAGAGAAATAGGAAAGTAAGCCACCCAAATCCTATTCAATAGGGTAAATATTGGAGTAAGATAAACATCTGAGCTGCCTTAAAAAGGCCATTGTGTTCAAGCAAACTCCCATTTCCTTACCTTGAGGAAGGCTCTGAATTAAGAAAGCCTGAAGTTCTGACAAAGGGGCCCAGCTGTTACCAGAGAAGGCTATTGTTATGGTCACCATTTATCCAGCCCCTACTATGTGCCAAGTTCCAATCAAATGCTTTCTCCACTGATTAGCTCATCTTTTTAGCAGTTCTGCAGGGTCGGTGCCTCTATCCCTGTTTCCCTAAGACCCACTCTTGCCCCCTTTTCACCAAGACCCCATGGCCGCCTCCCTCCCATGCCTCAGTTGGATGGATGTGCTGGGTCAGAGGAGCTGAAACACTATCTTGGTTCCAGCCACCTGGACCTGCAAGGTGGCCTCAAGCAAGCGGTATCTCCTAGCATCACTCCATCTTTGAACAGTCTACCTTCCTGGGGTATATATAGGTCAACAGTAGAACTAGCGGCTGCTCTTTAGTGAGTAACTTACCACATGGTTCTAAACATCGTATATGCATTGTACAATTTAATCTTCTATATTCAATACTGTTATCAACCGTATTTTACCGAGGTACGGGAAATTCAGAAATTTGCCCAACCCACTGATCAGAACCCTGTTTTCAACCCAAATCTAATCCAGACAACAGACAGAAAGGCAGAAAAGCAGCCTTGACTTCCTTATGCCAAAAGCCTGCATCCGTGAAACTCCTGGCTGATATTTTCCGAAAGAGCCTGTCACTATAGGAGCCGATGTCACTTTGCTCCTGACCGAGGGGAGCCCTCTGAACGGCTCAGGATATTAAAAAAGCCATTTGATCTCAGATAATCACTGAAAATTCCAGACGTTTCCTTACAGTGCAAAGAGCAAGAGAGAGCCATCTGAGAGAGAGAGAGAGAGAGAAATTGAGAGAGAGAAAGTCTCCTGGGTGTTCATAAGCCCAACATAGAGCATAGTCCCAAAGAGCTGCTGGATGTGTGTTTTCTCTGTGAAAAGTAAACTAAAGGACAACTAATGTTGGAGTGGGAGGGCACAGGTTGGTTTTGTCTGGGAGGTGGGAGTAGTGGGTTTTGTTTGTTCTACTTGTTTTCTCAGTTTCTCCTGAAGCTTGTGTTTCTAGATGACTATCTCCTGAGCGGTCAAGCAAATGGACAAACACATTAGAGCAAAAGCAAACATTTACACAGGCAGCGAAGTCGTTTCTCCCAAGTCGCCTAATTCACAGGGCTGGAGCCATTTAGGGATTAAAACAAGATGGCCTTTTTTCTCTTTTTTCTTTTCTCCCGAGGAGATTCTTTCCAGAATTCCCTTAGTTTAGAGAGCAGGAGCCAACTTGGATGTCAGGATTCTTTCTTCTCTTCCCACGAATGAAAACCCAGTTCAGATGTGCAGTGCACACTGTGACTGCCCAGAGGCTCATCTGCTCCAGTGGGCGATTCCCAACAATCAGCCTCTTCTTTTCCATAGACCATTTCCTTGCATTCCGCAAAGCTGGTATGGGAGCCGACCACATACACAATTTTAAAAAAATAATAATCTAGCTGAGCTCTAGCCAATCATTACCCTAGGAGATTAATTATTCTTTCTTCTCTTAAATCCATACAGCCTATAAAGATCTAAAATTATAGAAAGTTCAGGCTGAAAGGCCCCTTTGGGATCATCTAGTCCAGCGTTTTTCAAACTGAACTATTAGGGGGTCAGGAAGTCAATATAAAAGATTATGGCCAGCTTTTTAAAAATGAATGGGAAACAGAATTTCACATAGTAAGGATAAATATTGTTTTGTAAAACTTGTGTTTCAGTTATGCATGTAGTTCAGAGGGTCATGATGTACAATTATGGGCACTTCTTACTGTGGGCCCTTGTCTAAAAAGTTTGAAAACTATTGACTAACCCACTGGTTTTACAGATGGGAAAAGTGAGGCCCCAAGAGGGACAATGATTTACCCAGGATTCTGCTGCAGACCCTGGATGGGAAGTAGCCTTTCTTCACATGCTTCCTAGCATGCGGACTCCCCCGTCTTCCTCCCACTGGCTGGCACACAAATCAGCATACATTAGTCCTGCCCGGTGTTGTGTGTGTCAGCATACAGTTCCATTCAGACAGCAGACCCCCTGAAGGCCCAATGACACTCAATGTTTTTGTCACCCCATAGCATGGAGCACAGGTGCAGAGCTCCTGGCAGGTATTGGATGCTCACTTGGTGTATCACTGAGGTGGGCAGAAGAGGGTTCTGGTAGGAGAAAAGGAAAGAAAATCCCCAGGAAAGGACAAGAGCTCCATGGAAAGGGCGTCCA